ATAATGTCTTCAAAGAGGTCAAAAGGATAGGACTTTACAACGAAATCGGACAAAGAGGTGTGAAGGGGGAAAAACTCAAATCTGGAACATTGTTAAGGAATCCGAATGAAGAGAAACTATGGAAAGTCATAGATCCTGAGGCGAACCTCAATAGGTTTCCAGTCTATCCTATGGTTTGGCTTCAGCTTTAAGAAGAAATTATTAAAATGTTCATCCTGTCAATTTTATTTAGTTAGGACTTATATTCGCGTGACACGATCACACAAGTTGTCTGGAAGATATGAGGGTTTACATCGTATCTGACGACGACCTCGGAACCTAGAACGAGTTTAGGGCTCAAATTCGTACAACAGAGCTATGCGAATGCCTAAAGAAAAGGTGGAGGATTTATGTTGCATCAGACAAATAACCTCGAAATCCTATGGATTGTTTTTTTTAATTTCTAGGAAAAGGGAATAGGTTTGCTGGGGAAGACATGTTTTACTGTTGAAGATGGCCGTGCTGCCCACTGCGTTAGCTCCAAGCTCCCCGACATGACGAGTTTAAGTTTTCTAGAGTGTCCAGTTATAGTGTTAAATCAAACGACCCTATGGTTGTAGTCCTCTAAACATCCTATGCAAAAAGAAAATATGCTTGAAGTTATATAATATAAGGTGTGCAACGCAGGAACAAACAATAAAATGCACGTGAAACAGTAGTGGGCAAAAACAAGAGCAGTATAACATGTTATAGCAAGTAGAAACATGAATAATATAACATGCTGTACGGTACGGTAGCAGGTAGAAACAAAAATGTTATAACATGCTGTATAAGAAGAGCAGTAGCAGGTAGAAACAGGAAAATTAATTGCTGTAAAATGCAAAGCAAACATGTACGCCCGTGAGATCCGTTGTTCCTTACGTATAGCAAACCTAAATGCATCTCAAAAAGCAAATTCCGAAAGAAACGTCGTCTAGGAAACCCGAGGAAAAGAGGAGAAACTCGAGAAAATCAACGAAAAAGACTCAAGTAAAAGAAAATCCACAAAACTCCCAGGAAAATCCCAAAAGAAAAAAAAGTAACACGAGTGTTCTGTCCCAAAGCTTCGATAAAACAAAGAGAAGATTCAGACGAAGGGGACTGCAAGCACTCGTATGGGACTAGGCTCAGCTATATTTATTCTCGAGGGTCCACGAAGGCTACTCGGTCACCCGAATATATAGAACCCGTCACTCGTCTAGAAGTGTGTCTTGAACCTCACTTAG